TTGCACAGGAAGCCTAGCTAGACTCTTTTTGCTAAGCTTTTCTCCAGCATTACAATTATTTCCATTATTTCTTCTCCAGGGAGTTCAGGAAAACTGGGCATTGCTTATACTTGATTCTCGGATTGAAGGTTTTGGATCGTTTGTATTTATCAGAATCATTGGACCATAATATTTGTCTATTCTCTCCTTTTGTAATGCTTCAAAAATACCTCTTATTTGACTGGATAAGTGGTATTTAACTCCTGGTGTGTTTTAGGGCCTGAGAAATCAGCTCTTTATTCGGGGGAAATGCAGCTTTAACGCACACATTGCTAAAGTTGTGTAAATTCAACCAAACAACCTTTGTAGACCAAATGAATCTATGTAGCATGAAAAAAAGAGTAAACTTAGCATTTGATTAATTTCATCATTTCTGTTGAAACCACATAAATCAGCTTGTAAAAAAAATATAACCCCACTTTTCTGAAAAAAAAGTGTCTAATTGAATTAATTTTAACTGAATAATTCCACCACCCCTAATATTACCATTCTGAAGCATATCAGCATTTCAAATTCTTCTCACCTTTAAAACCAGCATAGCATACAGGAAATATTAGTGCCTTTATTGATTTAGTTATATCAATGTTAGCAACATATTTAACGTTAGGATTTTTTTTTAATCTCCTTAGGAAGCAGATGATACAAACCAAAATTTGACATCAGCCAAATAGAGCACAAAATCTGTACTAAGGAAGGATATGTATATACAATGAATAGCTCAGTTAGAAGATATGATAGGTGACAGTCATCAGGTATCCTTAAAAGAAAAAAAAAACAGAAAAGTAGGACACTGAAGTGACTACATAAACAGGTAAATTAAACCTCTTTAATTTTTAGTTGCTATCAAATTGACCAAGTAGTTCATTGAATCATAAAATACCACCAAGCAAAACACATAAGCCAAGAGTTGAGACTCAGTTATATGATTAGCACAGTTGCATCAGAACCTTTTTATATCTAAGTAATGACTCAGAGGATATGGAAACAATCTAAAAGATACATAGAGGTAGATACCAACTTCAATGTTCCTTCCTATTGTCGGTGACACCCCTCTTTCCTGATTCTGTCTTTTACTGGATGCACCTTCTTCTAACATCCCCAGCTTTCATCATCAACTTGTTCTGCTCACTATCTTCCTCGGACTATCTTCCTCGGCTATGTGTTGCGTTCATGATCAGGCTTCAGCTACCATTTTGGTATCAGAGACTCCCAAATTGTTATATCACCTCTTAGCCACTTTTCTGAGTTCTAGAGCCTACGAACTGACTACCTCAAACTCAATAGGGACAAAGAAGAACTTCCCTTTTCCTTTAGACTTGTTTATACCTACTTCAACAATGCAGATTAATAGTGACTGACACAAGGAAACAGGCCTTAGAAGTGCAAGTTACACCATATTCTGCAGAATATTGGCTATAAAACTAAGTCTATAAACTGAGACAGAGCACATCATTCTCAAAGAAACTAGATAAATTATAAATGTTGTATAAACACAGGTATAATTACTTGTTTTGAATGAATATGCATCTGCTTAAAATGATTTATCTCAAATTACTTGTGCAAGCTCTTTCTTCCTCCTCAAATTAAAGTATCACCCACAAAATATATATATATATATTTTTTTTTTTTGGCTGCCATATATGCCCTAGCTAAAGAAATGAAGAGTTTCTTTGAAGTTTGCTAACACCATACGGCCTTTCAGATAGCGATTTCTAGATGTGGCTGCAATTGTTTCCCTTCACAGTTTGAATTTTTTTTTTTTTCAACATTTATTTATTTTTGGGACAGAGAGAGACAGAGCATGAACGGGGGAGGGGCAGAGAGAGAGGGAGACACAGAATCGGAAACAGGCTCCAGGCTCTGAGCCATCAGCCCAGAGCCCGACGCGGGGCTCGAACTCACAGACCGCGAGATCGTGACCTGAGCTGAAGTCGGACGCTCAACCGACTGCGCCACCCAGGCGCCCCATCCCTTCACAGTTTGGATGAAAGCAATCTACATATTAACCCTAAAAATTTTAGTATGTGTATAAACACTATTTGAGTCCCTTGCTGGTAGATAAATCAGCAAATATGAATGCAAAAGTATCTAAATATGTAATTATCAATAATTACCAAATTATTCAATTTCATGCCAATGGACTTAGAAGATTCAAATGGATAAGGACTACATGTGAATTTAGTTTTTCTCTTTTTTATCTTATATGTTAGACTCCTTAAAAACTGAAAACAAACTGAGGGTTGATGGGGGGTGGGAGGGAGGGTGATGGGTATAGAGGAGGGCACCTTTTGGGATGAGCCCTGGGTGTTGTATGGAAACCAATTTGACAATAAATTTCATATATTGAAAAAAAAGAAATAAAAGTAGCATATGAATACATACCAATCGAGAAGAAATTCAAACAATCCAATAACATGTAGAATAACAGTGGAAGTCCCTCTTCAGTACTCAGTCCAGTACCCTAGAGATAAACAAAGTAGTGGGTATCTACCTCTTTTGTCACTGCCATAAAACCAGTACCTTAGAACAATCACTAGTAAATGTAAGTATTCACTAAATATTCGCTACATTAATTGATATCCTTCCAGTTATTTTGTGTACATTTGCATATATATTCGGCATTAATATGAACATAATGTGCATACTATCTTTTGTTGTTGTTATAATTCCATCCATCTCTCCATGTATCTATTTCATTACTTTTAACGATTGCATCAGTTTCCATAGTATAGAGGAATCTCAATTTATTTAATCGTTCACCTTTATATTGTGCCTTATATTTTTCTGCTGTAACCGATGCTGCAATGTTTATGTACATGTGGAAATATTTTTTCACAACAGATTTCTAGAGATGGAATTTCTAGGTCAAGAACATATAAGCATCTACAGTTGTTCCAATATATACTCTTACCAGTGACACATACAATTATCAGTTATATTAAGGCTCTGACAACAGTTAACTCTATGCCTATGAAGGATGAGAAAGTGTACCTGCAAAATTGTTACTTTAATTTATATTTCCTTGGTTTCCACTGAGCTTGAGCAACTTTTTATGTGTTTATAATACATATGTAGTGTTTATTTCTACATAAATTCTCAGTTAACCAATTTTGGTTATTTTTTCTTATTGATTCATAAATGTTCTTTATATATTATGGACACTAACCTTGCCCCTTGTATAAGTTGGAAAAATGTTTTCTCTTGATCTATTACACAACTCTTGCAAAAGATTTATTTTTATGTGGTGGGGAAAAAAAGAATGATACTGCTTTATCACAGAAGATCTAAAAATGCCAAAAGGTAATTTCAGAATCATTGAGTAAGTTTCGCAAAGTCACTGGATCCAAGGTCAACATATATAAAACGTTGTTTTTTTTTTTAATTACTATTACTAAAGTATAATTGACATCAGTATCCTATTGGTTTCAGGTGTACATCACAGTGATTCAGTACTCTTTCAGATTATGAAATGATCTCCATAATAAGTCTAGCTACTGTCTGTCATCATACAAAGTTATTACCATATTATTGACCATAGTCCCTATCTTGTACCTCACATTCTCATGACTCATTTATTTTATAACTGAAAGGCTGTTCTTCCTAATCCTCTTCAGTTATTTCATCCACCCCCCCCCCCACCCCCCACCCAATTGTCCCTGCTCTGGTAGCCAACAGTTTGTTTCCTGTATCTATGAGTCTGCTTCTGTTTTGCTTTGTTTGTTTGCTTGTTTGTTTTGTTTTTTAGATCCCACATATAATTACAACCATATGGAATATGCCTTTTCCTGTCTGTCTGACTTCGCATAATACTCTCTTGTCCATTCATGTTGTGGCAAATGGCAAGATTTCACTATTTTTGTGACTGAATAACATTCCAGTGTGTGTGTGTGTGTATGTGTGTGTGTGTGTATAATATATATTATATATATATTATATATACACACACCACATCTTCTTCATCCATTCATCTACTGATAGACCCTTATGTTGCTTCCATATCTTGGCTATTGTAAATAATGCTGCAATAAACATAGGGGTGCATAAACCTCCTCAAATTGGTGTTTTCATTTTCTCTGAATAAATACCCAGACATAGAATTGCTGAATCACATGGCAGTTCTATTTTTAATTTTTTTTGAGGAACCTCCATACTGTTTTTCACCAATTTACATTCCCACCAACAGTGCACAAGGGTTTCCTTTCCTCCACAATCTCACCATTATTTCTCTTTTTTGATAAAGCCAGTCTGATCCATGTAAAGTGATATTTCATTGTGGCTTTGATTTGCATTTCCCTAATGATTAGTGATCTTAAATTGTGCTTACTTACATCTATGAATATTTTCTTTTTTTATCTCCTGGGTTTTGTGTCTTACAAAGCTGTACCTTTCTCTGCAAAGTTCATAAAAACAATACTTTTAGAGGGTTTTATTGTTTTTCTTTTAAGATTTAGCCTTTTGTTTCCTTTTACCTAATATGTATATCATTCTTCATTCTGTTAATGTGGATAGTCTATTACGCATATTCAACAATCTTATATTCTAGAAATATGTTCTACTTGATCATAATGTTAAGTCTTTTAATATACTGCTGCATTTAATTAATTTTATTTAATATTTCTGCCTCTATAATAATAAGGATATTGATCTTTAATTGAACTATCCTTATCTAGAGTTTGTTAGGATTATGTAACGCACATGGACTCTATTAACCAGTTTTCCATATTTTCCAATGCTCTTCTACGTCTTTAGAATTTAGGGTTTTTTTACTTAAAAAAATTTTTTTAATATTTATTTTTGGGAGAGTGCATGCAGGGGAGCGACAAAGAGAGGGGGACAGGCTGACAGCAGCCAGCCTGATTTGAGGCTTGAACTCCCAAAATGGGAGATCATGACCTAAGCTGAAGCCAGATACTGAACTGACAGAGTCATTCAGGTGCCCCTTTAGAATTTAAACAATACAACACATCTTTGATGTGATGGCCAGGTAACATTTATAAAGATCTGTTATTTACTTAAGTATTAGATATTTGATTAACCATTTCATTTTTTCTATAATCGTTCCTCCAATCATACAATATACTCTTATCGGTCTTTAACTAATGTCTCTTGTGTTTTCTCTCACACACACTCTCATTATCTTTTTTTTTTTTTTAATTTTTTTTTTCAACGTTTATTTATTTTTGGGACAGAGAGAGACAGAGCATGAACGGGGGAGGGGCAGAGAGAGAGGGAGACACAGAATCGGAAACAGGCTCCACGCTCTGACGCGGGGCTCGAACTCAAGGACCGCGAGATCGTGACCTGGCTGAAGGCCGCTTAACCGACTGCGCCACCCAGGCGCCCCTCATTATCTTTTAACACGCCTACAAAAAGATTTTGTTTTCTATTGTATTGATCTAAAAAAAAGCTCTGATATTATTGATCAAATCTAATATTCATTTTGTTTTCTATGTCACTAAGTTCTGTTTTAATCTTCATTCATTTCTGTCTTCTACTTGCTTAGATATATTTTGTTAGATTTTATCTAGTTTCCTGAGTCTAATACTTAACCCATGTATTTTTGATCTCTGCCTTTTAATAATAAATTCATTTAAGGCTTTTTATTTTCCCAAGTAACTCTTAGTGTATGATTTATATTATCTTAGAGCACAGCTTATACTATCAGTATCATTCATTTCTAAATAGTCCAAAAATTCCATCTCATTTTTTTTCTTTAACTCAAAAATAAAGAAAATAAGAAGCAAAAAGAAAGGAAAACTGGGAAATTGAGGAAGCAGCTGAGTAGGAGAAAAGCACATCCAAGTTAGCACGTAGGGTGATGTTAGCACCTCTGCCATGAGGCAGGACTGACTTGAGGCCAATGCTCCAGATAAATTTTGGCTCAGGATAAGAAAGAACTTGGTAAAATTCAGGACTGTCCAAAAAATGAAATGAACTGCCCTTGAAGACAGTGAGTTCTCTATTACTGGAGGTGTTCAAGCACAGGATGGGGAAGAATGCGACAAGGATACTACAGAAGGAATTCAAAGACGGAGTGGATAAATTACTTTTCAGATCTCTCTCACTCTGTTTGCTTGCTATTGTGTAATTCAGTCTACTATAAAGTGCGACAAATGGTGTCACAAAACTATTTTTAATTCAAGTAAACCCCCCACTGTAATAAACTCCATGGGAAATCAAGAATGCTTTATTGAAATATAATTGTGTTAAAATTAATAGTTTGCTTAAAACCACATTCCTAATCTGCAGGAGTTGTAGAATAGACAAAAGATGAGGCCGATTTTCTCTATAGTTTATTAATAAGTCAAAAGAAATAAGAAAAGAGGAGACACATCATAAATCTTTTCCTTCCCCTGGTTTCTGGGTCTTGAGCATAGTGTTTCTCCCTACGAGATAGTTTTAGGCTCGGGGTTAATGGCTGGGATGTTTGAGATGCTGGTGGAATTTGGGAGTATGGGTGTTGCTTGAAAACATAATAAATAAACTGCTATCTAGTCAGCTATAGCATAGGTAAGAACTGTCCATTTGTGCCCTTACTTCTGTTCCCAGACCTGCACTCCAGCCAGTGTAATGTACAACTCATCCTTTATGTGACTTAGTAGCTTCTACTCTCAGGAACCCAACTGGCCGCTTGGAGGACGGACTTCCCTGCCTGCAGGCAGGCTGCATATAAAGGTTATGCTGCATCAGGTACTAATTACCTTTGCTTCAAAAACACATCTCCTTTTGTCTTCTGTGCTGCTATCTGCTATCTCTCTGAATTCTTACCCTCTGACTTATCATGATTTCCTGTGCTAGACCACTCTAGAATCCTTTCCCTGGGCTCTGAACCCATGGAGCCTAGACAGACCTCAACCCTCACAATTCCCAGCAATTCCTGGGTCTCCAGATCCTGTCTTCCTGCCTCTTCCCAATCAACCAGCACACCAGTAATTTCTACTTAATACAATAAACATCATTTATTGTGCTAAATGATGTTATGGACTGAATGCCTGGGTCCCTCCAAAAGTCACATGTTGAGTCCTTAACCCCCAATGTGATGGTGTTTGGAGATGGGGCCTTTGGAAGGTAATTAAGGTGAGAATAGGTGTTTTCAGATTTATAAGTGACCACTGTGGCCGATGCCAGTGTGGGCGCTATCATTAAAAAACAAAATAAACCTTCCCAGGCAAAAAAAAGGTGAGAATAGGTCATAAAGTTGGGACCTTTGTGATGGGATTATTGGCCTTACAAGAAGAGGAAGATCTCTCTCTCCCTCTCCCTCTCCCTCTCCTTATGCCTCTCTCTCTTCCTTTCTCTCCTTCTGCCTCTCTCTCTTCTTTTTTCTCTTTCTGTCTCTCTTTCCACATCCCTTAGGTGGCATGCATTGAGCAAATGCCATATGAGGACACAGCGAGAAGACAGACATCTGCAAGGCAGGAAGAGTCCTTACAAGGAAGCAAATCAACTGTCATCTCGATC